CGGGGGCCAGAGCACCTCTGCCTGGGCCTTCCTGTAGTCAGCGCTAGTCAGTTTCAGCAGATTCTGAACAGCTGAAACTGACCAGCAGCGGCTGAATCAGGACCTGGGGCAGAGCAGCTGGGGTGCTGCCGGGTTGGGCCAGTAGTGCCCAGAGTGGCGCTGCGGGACCAACCGGCAGAGCCCCAGCTGCTCTGCCCCAGGGTCCACAACAAAAGCCTGGTCTGCTGGGGGAGGGCCTACTAACTGCGCCCCCCCCCCCAGCAGCCCAGGGACACAGGGAGCAAAGCCGCAGCAGCGGGGGGTGCCTCGCCTCTGAGGCTTTGCTCTGGCGCGGGACCCGCTTTGCTCCCGGTGCCCCTGGTCTGCTGGAGACAGTCCCCAGCAGACCAGGGGCACTGGGAGCAGCTTTTCTCGCCCCGGAGGTCGAGGTGGCTGACCGCTGCCTGTGAGCTCCGGGGCGAGAAAGCCCCGTTCGTAAGTGCGGATCCGACATAAGTCGGATCCGCGTAAGTCGGGGACTGCCTGTATGTTGAATAATCAGAAACGGTAGTAAGCACAGTTTACTAGTACTTTTCACAAAAATGATCTTTCTGAACTAATGTTTGTCTGACACACAAAACAGCACTCTGTACTACCAGGCTACAACACACCCACACAGCACTATTATTTCAGAAACTGTATGGGATCCAGGAAATACAGACCATATTGTAATGGTACAGGTGCCCAAATGGGCACAGTTAAGGTTACAAGCACGGTTCTATTCTGAAAATGATTTTTTTTTTTTGGTCAAAAGGCATTATGTGTATGGTGCCTCATCAATTTGCAGATCAAATCAACAGTTTCTAAGTAAAAACATTTTTACTAAATGCCTGCTCTAGAAAGTTGACATTAAACTGGGTTTTCTAGGGATGTTAAAAATCTTTTAATAAGGTAATCCTCAGCAGTTACACACACTGCAGGTTCTGCAGTATAAAGCATAAATAAGCTTCATACTGCAGAGCCCGCAGTGAAGCCACCTCCCCAGGAGCCGGGAAGAGTTTAACTGATAACATTAGCCAATAAGCATTGTCTTATCGGTTACTCGGTTAATCTCTAACAGCTCACACGTCAACAAAGAATGCAGCTGGAACTGAAATCATGCCATTGACAATGCTCTAACTCAAGGAGCATGAGCTGGATTCTCTTCTGGTTGGGCTGGTAACCCAGTTTTAATCAGAGCAGTAAAATTAATCAATAAAGCTAGAAACAATTACAAGGAATACACAAGGGGAATAGATCTGAGTGTTTTAACAGTACCTTTTCAGCATAAAAATGCATTTTAACTCAGGCATTCCTTGACTTATTTTGAGTTCCTGCAACTGGAATGTTTTCCTAACAGCTTTTCTATGGAATTTTATTCATATTCGTGATATCAGTCTTTGGCATAAAATAAAAAAAAAACAACCCACAACATTTAACAACGTGCACTGATATCTGCTCTAGCCAAATTCTCTGATCAGGATTAATGGATTCAGAGAAAATTAACTTGAAAAATAAACTCAGAATCCTCCCCCTGCCTACATGCACACAATATAGAGAGACAGCAACCAAAACAAACCAAATATTTTATGTCAGAAATAATGAGTCAACAAAATACATCTCTCATTCTGCTGCAAGGCTAAAATTTACCATGTTGCATAAGTTTTTGTTGGCAGACACAAATCAAAACATAAATTTTTGCTGGCAGACACAAATCAAACCCTTCTTATATCAAGAGTGTTTATTATAAGTAGGGTATTAACAGCTTCACTCTTAATTTGAAATGTTTACAACTCTTAGATCTGTGGAAACAAAGCTGTTTTGCCTACTGACTATATGAATAACTAAAGTCCCCTTGTCTCTGCTGCTTCAGTACAAACCTGGAAATTCTGAGTTTTTGCCCAGGTTCTTACATGAACACTATGACCTGGATCAAGACATTGCTAGTTTCTGCCTCGGTTTCCCCATCAGCACAATGTGGTAATGATTTTCTATCTCACAGGGGTAACTGGTACTTTACAGAGTGCTATGTAAAAACCATTATGTATACCCATTAGCTTTAAGGAAGTCCCAAAGAAAGGCAAAGGCACAAAACGAGCTCAATCTAGATAGACACACAAAGAGTAACAAGACGACATTCTATAAATATATTAGAAGCAAGGTAGGCCCATTTCTCAGTGACGAGGGAGAAACAATAAGAGGAAACTTGGAAATGGCAGAGGTGCTTAATGACTTCTTTGTTTCAGTCTTCACCAAGAAGTTTGATGACATAGTGATGCCTAACATAGTGAATGCTAGTGGAAATGGTAGGGTTTAGAAGTTAAAATGTAAAAAAAAAAAAAAAAAAGTTAAAAATTACTTAGAAAAGTTGTGTGTCTTCAAGTCACATGGGCCTGCTGAAATGCATCCTGGAATAAGCTGATAGAGGAGATATCTGAGCCTATAACTATCATCACTGAAATATCATGGAAGTCAGGAGAGATTCCAGAAGACTAGAAAAGGGAAATAAGAACAACCCAGGAAACTACAGACCAGTCAGTTTAACTCCTGTGCCAGGAATGATATTGAAGCAAGTAATTAAGGAATTCATCTGCAGATGTTTGTACATCTGGAAGAAAATAAGGTGATAGGAAACAGCCAGCACAGATCTGTAAAGAACAAATCATGTCAAATCAATCCGATAGCTTTCTCTGATAAGATAACAAGTCACATGGATAAGGGAGAAGTGGTGGCATTTTAGTGAGGCATTTGATATGATCTCACATGACCTTCTTATTAATAAACGCGGGAAATACAACCTAGATAGGGCTATTGTAAAGTGTGTACATAACTGGCTGTATAACCATTCTCAGAGAGTAGTTATTAATGGTTCAGAGTCATGCTGGAAGGGTATAACAAGTGGGGTTCCGCAGGGGTCCCTTCTGTTCAATGTCTTCATCAACGATTTAGATGATATCATAGTGAGTATAATTATTAAGTTGGCAGATGATACCAAGCTGGGAGGGGTTATAACTGCTTTGGACAATAGGATCATAATTCAAAATGATCTGGACAAATAGGAGAAATGGTCTGAGGTAAATAGGATGAAGTTTAATAAGGACAAATGCAAAGTGCTCCACTTAGGAAGGAACAATCCGTTTCCACACATACAGAACGGGAAGCAACTGTCTGGGAAGGAGTACGGCAGAAAGAAATCTAGGGGTCATAGTGGACCACAAACTAAATATGACTCAATAGTGTGACACTGTTGCAAAAAAAAGCAAACAATTCTGGGATGCATTAACAAGAGTTTTGTGAGCAAAACATGAGAAGTCATTCTTCCGCTCTATCTGTGCTGATTAGGCCTCAATTAGAGTATTGTGTCCAGTTCTGGGCATCACATTTCAAGAAAGTTGTGGAAAAATTGGAGAAGGTCCAGAGAAGAGCAACAAAAATGATTAAGTATCAGAGGGGTAACTGTGTTAGTCTGAATCCGTATAAACAGTGAGAAGTCCTGCGGCACCTTATAGATTAACAGATTTATTGGCGCATAAGCTTTCGTGGGCAAAGATCCACTTCGTCAGATGCATGAACGCATCTGACGAAGTGCGTCTTTGCCCACGAAAGCTTATGCACCAATAAATCTGTTAATCTATAAGGTGCCGCAGGTGTTCTCGTTGTTTATTAGTATAATGGTTTCACCTCCATGTAGATCACAAACTCGCTGCCCATAATTTCACACCATTAGAATAGCCTGACTGGGTCTTCTGCCAAAAAGTCAACTGTCCTAGAAAATCCACCAAAAAAAGAAGGTGATCACAATAGATCAGATGAAGCCACTGAAGACATTGGGCTTGTTTAGTTTGGAAAAGAGAAGACTGAAAGGGGACATGATAGCAGTTTTCAGGTATCTAAAAGGGTGTCACAGGGAGGAGGAGGGAAAATTGTTCTCCTTGGCCTCTGATGATAAGACAAGAAGCAATGGGCTTAAACTGCAGCAAAGGAGATTTAGGTTAGACATTAGAAAAAACTTCCTGTCAGGGTGGTTAAACACTGGAATAAGTTGCCCAGGGAGGTTGTGGAATCTCTATCACTGGAAATATTTAAGAGCAGGTTAGACGGACATCTATCAGGGATGATATAGACCAGTGTTTCTCAACCAGTGGTACGAATACCCTTAGGGGTACTTGAGCAAAGTCTGTGGGGTATGTCAACACAACTGAAATTTGGAGAAAATTGAATTTTTGTTTTAAGTTTTACAGCACTTTATTATTTTTGTACTTTTTACACCAAAACATTTCATCGCCCACCCAGCTACAATTAAGTTGTTTAAACAAATGTGTTGTGATGGTAGAAAAAATGTTTGTGTGTCTGAAAACTGTAGATACTGGGGGATCCTTATTTTTTTTTTAAAGGGGTACTTTATTAAAAAAGGTTGAGAAACACTGATATAGAGCATGCTTGGTTCTGCCATGAGGACAGGGGATTGGACTTGATGATCTCTCAAGGTCCCTTCCAGTTCTAATATACTATGAAACAACCCAAACTGTGTGCAATGTTACAGAAACCCCATTGCTATAGCATGTGTAAGCACAAATACAGCCCGTCCCCGAGTTACGAACGTGTCGATTTACTACCATTCGCACTTACGACCAACCTCCCGTTAACCCAATACAGCCGGTTCTTAACTTATGAACGCACCATCCGCACTTCTGAACAGTGCAGCCGTATTTAAAAGCATGTATTCCCGACTTACGAACAAACTGAGTTACGGCCAGGTGTTTGGTACGTAACCCGTTTGTAAGTCGGGGACCAGCTGTATAATAAAACTATCACAGGCAGATGTCATGATCAAAGGGTTCAGCACTACTGAGCTTACATGGACAAAATGTGGTGGAAAATGATGGGCTCTACTGTAATTTCAATCGGAAATGCAACAAGATCTTTTTCATCTCTGCATCTAGAACTGAGTAACACAGCTTTAATGCAGGAATCACTGGATGAGTTTTCCCAGCCCATGTTACAAAGGAGATCAGACTACATAAATGGTTTTCAATTTTTTTTTCTTGCAATCCAGTTGAAGAAAATTGTTGATGCCTGCGACCCAACATAACCATATCTTTTGACTGGAGTGCAGGCTCTAGGGTGGGGCTGAGGATAACGGGTTTGGGGTACAGGAAGGGGCACTGGATTTGGGGGGCATGGTTCATGGCTGGAGCAGGGGACCGGGGCATGGGGTTGCAAATTAACCACCAATGGTTCCCGGTCAGCAGCACAGCAGTGCTATGGCAGGCTTCCTGCCTTTCCTTGTACCATGGAAGCAGCCAACAGCAGGTCCGGCTCCTAAGAGGAGGTGCAAAAGTGGTTCTGCGCTGCTCTCGCCCACAGGCATCACCCCCACCAGTTGCCATTGGCGAGTGCTTAGGGCAGGAGTAGCATAGAGCCCTGTGGCCTCCCCAGTTTAGAGGCTGGACCAGATGCTAGCCGCTTGTAGGGTGCAGCATGGTCCACAGTACCAGGCCGGGCAAGAAGCCTGCCTAACGACCCCTGCTGGTCACCTGATCATCCTTACAGCAAGGTGACCCTATGCCTGAGATTCCACAACCCACTACTGGGTTGTGACCTATAGTTTGAAAACCACTGGACTAGATGATCAGAATGGAACCTTTTGGCTTTAAAGTCCATGAATTTATGCTCTGATTAGAAAGAAAATAGAGCATGTTTCTAATATTGCCAGTAATTCAGAGCCCTTGCCCTTTCAGGCAAAATTTCTTTAATATACTGATAATTAGCACACCAGATCAAGAATCTGGCAGGTGTCTACCCAAAATATCGCACATGCATAAGCAACAGCACAGCAATATTCTCCACACCCTGAAGAGATCATTGTTAAACATGAGAGGGGAGCTCAAGGTCCTGCATCTGTTCAGACCTTGTTTCTCTGCTCAGATTGCCAGCAAGACAAATCCATCCGCACAGGGCACCCTAGTTGAAAGACCACTGGACCAGGAGTCCGGAGGCATGGGTTCCATTCCCAGTTCAGACACAGCCAACCTCAGAAAGGGATTCTATGTCACATGCGTATCTCAGTTTTACCATCTGTGAAACTGAAATAATATTACTAACCTCCTTTGTAAAGCACTTGAATAGACTCATGAAATGTACATGATAAACATGAGATTACCATTACTTGTGCTCATGACTTGTATATGATCTAGACATTAAGAACTAAACTGAGGCCACCAAACTCATTTTACACAGGCCAGCAAGAAGCCATTAGAAAGCAACGATTTTCAGTCCACGTCTATCTGATCAGGCAAGGTAAAGATGAAGGACTCTGTGTCCTTCCACCAATTTTCCAAGTCAGCCCAGTGTGTGATGAAGTGGGGACTGTATTTGCTTTATTTTGTTGCATGTGAGTTCTACCATCCTATAGTAGTAACCTTGTGTGGGTGCTTCAGTTTCCTGAGGAACTGCACTAATACCTATATCCAGGGCTCAACAAACCGCTGATTCTACTCGCCCATGGCGAGTAGATTTCAGCCAGTCCCTCCATGCATCCCATTCACTGGCTCATGCGAGGTGCGGGGCTGGCGAGTAGCTCTTGTCACGGTTTGTCAAGCCCTGCCTAGATCCATAGTGTCCAACCAGTTCTGAAGCAGTAGCCACTATACCAGTGTGTTGGACACCATACACGGCGATGTGAATTTTGTGAGTTAGTATCACTGAGGGAGGCTGCTGTAGCCAAAATATGTACACAGTACGCAACAGCAGATGCCCTTCATAATCTGCGCCCAGGAGGGGAGATGTAACAGTGCTCAGAATTGTTCCCTTTGAGAGACTACCCTAACAGTAAGACAGGCTTGAAACCCCTACAGAAATGAAAAGTGGCCTTAGCATATCCCTGAACAGGATTTACTGACTCCTCCCAACCTCTGAGAAGGAAGCAGATCAGGGCCCAACATCAGCAACTGCAAAGAAATAGGAAGAGACTATAAACCCAAAAGGAGCTCTCCTCAACCTCCCCAATGCATGCTGAAAGACTTTTCTGCTAATGAAATAATGAGAAATGATCAAATCTAAAGCATCAATCATCCAAGAACCTCAATGCTCCTAAAGAGGGAATCCTCAATCTCCTGTGGAGTGCTAATAGCCATGTGGCACAGACAAAGGAAGTGAGGCAGTTTTGCCTAGGTCACAAAGTCAATCCTGACTTCCAGCCTCTTGCTCTAACCACTAGACCACAATACTACTTACCAGAGGTTCCAGGACAGCATAAATGACATGGACATTTACAAGGACATTCATGGGCTCCAATTCATACCAGCCCTGCCCAATGATTTCCAATACCCTCTTTTCGTGGATACCCAAGAAAGCCACCTTGGATACCTGGTAAACAAAGCAGATGGTAGGAGCCTGGCAGCCATAGAGGAACTTGACATCGATGACCTGCAGCTCCTCCAGGCGGATGTTAAAGGCCTTTAACTCCTTGTTGTCCCGCTCCAGAGGAATGACCTTGAAGAGGCCATCATAGAGCCGCAGTCCAATCATCCGACACTCTGGGTCAATGATGCCAATTATACCCGTCTCAGAGGGCCGACCAATGCGATCCTGAAAGAGAAGAAACCAGTATCAGAAAGAGACCCAAACACAGAACCAACAGAACACTCAGAGAGAACAAGAAACAAGGTCAACATCCCACAGCTGGGAATGGATTTCCTGCAATCCATTCAATAGGCTTTAGCATATTATTCAAGTAAGCAAAAAATATCCTGGTATTCGAAGTGGATGTCCTTTCTGCCAACGAGCCATGAAATCCATCAAAGGTAAACAGCCAGCCTCAATAATTGGAATCTCAATTTCCTGTAGCATAAAACACATTGCAGCTTCTCTCCTAGGAAGGCAGCAAGGCTTAATATATAGAGCACTGAACAGGGATACACAAGACCTGTGTTCTATTCCCACCTCTGCCTGGGTGACTCACACAAGTCATGTCACAGCCTCCTGCCTCAGTTTCCCCATCACTAAAATTAGAATAATGATACTTCTTTTCTAAAACACTGAGATCTAAAGATGTCAGAGACCTAGATATTATCTGTAGGTCTTTTAGCACATTAGGTAGAAAAACCGTGGCACAGAAAAGCATATTGCCCAAGGAAACACTCAGCAACTTACTGGCAGACTAAATCTCCTGACATCCAGGCCTGTGCTCAATCCACTACCTCACAGTTGTCAATTATATCTCAACATTTGAAATCAGATGAAAGGTACTTTGACTTGACAGCTGGTGAGGGTTTTCGCTGAATACTAGTGTAAGTAATCAGACACAGAGTCAGCTGCAGGATCAGGACTGTAGTTACAAGCTCCACAAGGGCTGACACTTGTAATTATAATTTGTCTATGTCAACAGAAAAACAAAACCAGCAATCATGAAGAGAATCCATCAGCTATCCAGGGTACTTGATATATGGTAACTGGACTGCACTGCCCACCCAACTTACCTGCACGTTGCCATGGGCACGGGTGATGATATCAATGCTCTCACCACTTTGCTTGTACTCAAGGATACAGGCATTGTACTTGGCTGTCAAGATGAACAGCAGATCCTTGTTCTCCCCCTAGAAAAAGGGAACATCAACATACTTTCCATACTAGGAATGTAACTGGTTAACTGGCAGCCCAGTTGGGCTGAACCAGCCCCTTGCCTGATGTGGGCAGGGGACTGCTCCATTCCAGCCAGGCCCACCATGACACAGTGGGCCCAGGACTGCTCCAGTCCAGCCGGGCCCTCCATGGCACAGTGGGCCCAGGACTGCTCCAGTCCAGCCGGGCCCTCCATGGCACAGTGGGCCCAGGACTGCTCCAGTCCAGCCGGGCCCTCCATGGCACAGTGGGCCCAGGACTGCTCCAGTCCAGCCGGGCCCTCCATGGCACAGTGGGCCCAGGACTGCTCCAGTCCAGCCGGGCCCTCCATGGCACAGTGGGCCCAGGACTGCTCCAGTCCAGCCGGGCCCTCCATGGCACAGTGGGCCCAGGACTGCTCCAGTCCAGCCGGGCCCTCCATGGCACAGTGGGCCCAGGACTGCTCCAGTCCCACACCAGGCTAGCCAGGCCAACGGCACGGCGCTGTGGGTGGGGGGCTGTTTAAGCAATGACATCGTAACAGGCACCACGCTCACCTTTGGGTGGAAGAGCTCCATGACGGCGATCTTGCCATACATGCCCACCTCCTTGACGGGCCGCAGCCCCTCCGGCGTGACCACATAGATCTCAAGGCGGGTGTTCTTCGCTATCAGCAGGTTCAGGTCCTCGGCGGAAGTGAAGTGTCCTGCGAGAGAAAGCAGCCTGCTCACCCCCTGCACCCCGCGCCGCACTCCCCC